CTTCGATTAATGGTGCGTTAGACATTTTAAACCCCTGCCACCAAGAAAATAATAATTTAATTTCATCTAAATAAAATAAATTAATTTCAATTAAATTTACTTTTATTTATTTTTCTAATTTTAAATTATTTTTTTTGTGTTGTTTTATTAAATTTTGAAGTTTTTTGTGTATTTAATTTTTTTAATTTTGCTTTATATTATTTTACTTCGATATGGAGTTTTATTTCAATTTGTTTTATTATATTTTTACATATGTAATTTTTATTTTCATATGTTTCTGAACTTAAATTATTTTACTTTATTTTATATAAAATTTAATTTTACATATTTTTTAATTTATTTTTATAATTTTGCTTCCTTTTATTTGTATTGTTTTGCTTACTTTCTGTTTTAGTTTTTTGCTTTATTTTATTTTTGTTTGCTTTTAATTTCCATGTTTAATTTTATTTCAGCTTTTAATTTGTTTTATTTTTTCCATGTTTTATAATTTGGTCTTAGTTTTTTTGTAATTTTTTTTTTGCTTTGCGAAGATTAATTTTATTTGCTTTATTTTGCTTATAATAACGTTCATTCAATTTCTATTTGTTTATCTTATTTATATTAGACTTTTTCGTTTAATTAATTTTATTGTTTTTAGTTTACTTTTATTTGTTTTAAATTTAGTTTTTTTTTTATTACTCTTTGTATGTTATTTATTTTATTTTTTTTTAATTTCCTTTATCGATCAATTTTATTTTATTCTATTTCGCCTACCTTTTTTTAACGCCTTCCTTGCCGTGACTGTTTACTTCACTTTCACGCTCACCGCTGCCACCAACTTAAACAAGTTTCATATATCCTTCCTTTCTACTTCTGTCGCGTGCTTTGCTCTGACCTGTTCGCGCTGTCGGCGTTGTCGGAAGTTAAACTCTGGTTTTTCCTTTAACGGTAGACTATCACAACGATAAATCGGCGCGGCGGGGCGCGCTATTCACTTGCAACACAAAGCAACAAACAAAAAAACAAGTTGCAACACAGCTTCACTTTACATTGAAGGCTTTCGAAGCGGTCACTGACTACTTTATTACTTTTTTTTTATTACAATTTTTATATTTCGTACTTTTTGGCGCTCTACTATGTTCACATATGTATGTATGTACATACAGATATATTATGTATGAGTAATTGTATATATTTTTTTTGGTGTTTTATTTGCAGTTGCCTTAACTCACTTTCACTACTGATGTTGCACAATGAAATTAAAAAAATATATTATTTAAAAATTTGTGCAATAAATGCCAAATACATAATTAAATTAGTTTGCCCTGTGGTATTTAATACTTGTATGCATATTTTAATTTGAAAATCACATACAAAATGTACAAAAAAAAAATACTTTAAGCACCTTAGCAACTTAGCAATGCAAGCTTCGAAAATAGTTACTCTGCGTTTTTACGGGTATTGTTGATCAAGCGTTTTTTACAATTTCTTTACTTCTGTTTATTTGCTTTTTAACATGAGCCATCATCAATGAAAGGGAAATCCACCGGAACTGTTGTCAGTTTTTCACGCTTCACTTGTTATCAACAGAAAGTGCTCTGTGGTAAGCAAAATAAAAAAAATAAAAATAAATAAGCTCACAAAATAATAGATATTATTCGTATTCGAAGCAAATATCGAAACTAAAACCACTATAATCACTAAGGAAATCAAATAGCAAATGTTGCTTTCAGCCTTATTTACAAATTCTTCCTTTATTTCTTGCGCAGCACCACAGCAGCGGGCAGTGGTAAGACGTCACAAACGCGCCAACAGTTGAAAACTAACTGAACGTCCACTGATAAAGTCTACGAAGTTTTTGCCATGCAGCAGTCAACAGACAACAATTAGCGTGGTTTTGAATTTTGATCCAAGCTTACGACGAACGCAAGCGAAGTTGACACACACACACAAAAAGCAGACTGTTTTACAACTCGTAAAAGCGAAGTGAATGAGTGCTCAATTTTTCTCCTATATTCTGCGTTAAGTGTGGATTTTGCACACTTTACACGTGTTTTACAGTATTAGTTACAACACGCTCTTCGCTTCAGCTAAGAGCAAATTTAAAGGGCAATAAACAAGAAATCACGAAAGACTTAAGATACAAACTCCAAAATCTTTTTTTCGACTTTCAAAATTCCCTTAACTATGTTTTCAGATTGAAATTTTTTAACTGATCTTAGAACAATGCTTTTTCTGCTTATTAAGACTCTCATTTGTCGATTTGGTCCCAATTGACACCGGCGTTTTTCCCCATAAATTAAAGCATTTGAAAAGTCAGCACGCTATAATTCGAAAAAAAAAAACAAGATAATTGCGATTAAATGTTCGTTTATTTTAGACACATTTATTTATTTATTTTATATAGATTATCTTTAATTTCACATGAATATTTTAAAAAAATGCACATGCCGTCACACGATTTCTTGCAAACGATGCAACGGGCAACTATCCAAAATGAAATATCAAGCGATTGTTTTCTTTGCTATTTTCTATGTGTAAAGTAGACATTTATTGAATATACCATACATGTACATATGTATGTATTATATATTTATATTGTAATTTCTTATACGGAATACAATAGGCGGCTATCAACAAGTTAATCTGAACATCAGCAAGCATGTTTTATGTACTATATAATATATTGATGGTTTGAATTTAGTCAGATACTTATGTATTTAATTAGTAAAATGTGTCAATTATTGGTTATATTATAATTATAGATGCATGTATTTTGTCGTGTAATTCTACGGTAGGATTTAATTGTTGCGCCTTGACTGACGTAGGTTCTTTTCAATCTCAAATTGGCGTAGATCAGTACGTTGCAGGAAGTCTTGTCGCTCCAAGAAGCTGAAAATTTAAAACAAATTTGCGTGATGCATAGATACAATTTTTTTTTTTTAATAGTACATACATTTACTATACATACAGTGGCCAAAAAAAAATAATAGGAGTGCTATATTTTGATCAGTTAAGTTAACTATAACAGTTTTTTTTTTTATAAAAGTCAAGCTGGGTATACAATAAACATCGAATATATTTAGATTTCAATCTTTTTACAAAAGTTAGAAAATTCTGCAAATTTTCACCCAAATTTCTAACGTTTTAATCAGAATCTTTAGACAAAATTTGGGTACGCAGTTTTGTAGCCTATTTAATTTTAATCTAATGAAGGGGAAGTTTCAAGTTGCGAAAAAATACCGTTGCTTTTTGGCATTTTTTTTTTTTTTGCTGCCAGTGCCCTCCATATAAAAGAAAATTGTCAAATATTTAATACTTTGTATAGGAAAAACGTGAAGCACCTTCAACCAAAAAAAAGTCTCAAAAATCAACGGGATTTTTTTTTCTTAAGATTCTGATAAAAAAGTTTGAAATCATAGTGAAAACTCGCAGAATTTTTATAATTTTTGTACAAATGTGAATTTATACGGTGTTGTACGTAACGAGCTGGACGTTTATAAAAATTAAATAAACAAAATACAAATAGCCAAAACTGGTCAGAATATCGCATTCATATTATATTATGGACAACTGTATGCATCAAGCTAAATAGTATTTGAATGATTTTTAGCTTGGTTTATATGTTAAGATAACTCGCAATGCTTTTATAGTTTCTAACAGCACTTACCCGTCTTTGCCTTTGTTAAATGTTTGCAACTCTTCCTCAATGCCTTCGTCTTGTTTGAAACTTTTCCAGTCCAATTGCGATTTTTCCAGCACGGATATTTTTTTCTTTTTTCCAATTTGATTGAGTAACGAGCCCAAACCGCCGCTGCCACTGCCACCAGCCATCGGTCGTTTTAAACCTGGTGGAAAACCGGCGCGCAATGTTGAAGTTCCTGCCCGTACCACTGTCTCTTTATTCTCCTTTACACTATCAGAATTTACCACTTTTTCTACATGCACCTCTTCTCCTGCAAAATCTAAAACTTCTGTCACCGCATGCTTTTCTTGTTTTTTTGCAACTGTTGGCTTTTCTTGTGAGGTAGATTTTTCTTCACTTTTATCTTCATCCTTTGGCCTTTTGCGTCCATTTTTTGCAGCTGTCTCTGGTCTACCATTAGAGGTAGCATCATTACTACTAGTATTCGTTTGGGATTTTGATACTTTTTCAGTTTGTTCCGGCTTTACATCGCTGAGAAAATCTGCCCAGAGTGCATCAGACCTAGATTTATCTTCTTCTTCAGATTCCAAAGTATCTTTTTCTTTAGAACTACATAACCGCTTTGAAAGTTCGGTTTGCCGAGTGTTGCGTCTGCGCTCTGTGTCTGCAGTCGAGCTCTCTTCGTCGGTGTCACTCGAACGTTTCTTGTCTTGTGCACGTGTACTCTTTCGACCTTTTAATTTTTTCGTCTGCGATTTTCTACTGTGTCCACGGTTCTTTTTTCGTTTTTGTTGTTGGGGACTATTTTCACAACTCTCCTCTGCCTCACTACAACTAGATGGTTCAGTAGAAGCCTCCTCAGAAACTTCGTTGCCGGCATCTTTCTCTGGACAAAAATCGCTGTCACTTTCATCACTATCATGTAGTTCCTAAAATCAAATCTATTAGAAAACTACCATGAAAGTAGCAGCATAGTTTACTCACCACGTGTCGATTCATTTTGGCTGGAATATTGGTTTAATACTTGAAGAACTTCTACTATTTTTTGATATCGACGGCAGCAAATTAAATTTTCCCAGACATCTGGCTTTTGCAAAATCACTTTTCTTCTTATATTCCTCTTTAACTTCTTGTTCGTTACAGAGCTGCTTTGTGCCAGCTGACTCGATCTTGGTGTTGCCGTATAGCTCAAATTAGTTTTAATTTAAAAATTAGACCAAAGAACGTAAATCCAAAGAACGTAAATGTACAAGAACGTAAATGTATGTATTTAATGTATAGATTTACGTTCTTTGTAACGACATCGATGGCGTGTTAAAAATGGAAAAAAAATCGATGTCAGAATCGGTTTTTTTTGGCACCCTTACCATGGTCCACACTGTGTCGTGGCCCTAATGTTTATCCATCCTCCTGTGATTCAAAAACGAAAGTCAAAGTTGTAGAAGTGAATATTTTTGAATAAATGGACACTAAAGCCGACAAATTACATAAAAGAGCAATACGTGATCAACAAAAACGCATAAAACCTGGTGAATGCCAGAAATATGTGCGTCTGGTCTTAGATAGCGAGATTCTGTATTCAAACATTCCAGGACTAGGTCTCCAATTGCAATTAGAAATAGAACAGCTTCAACTAAAATACGTAGTCCGCGACTTGCCGGCCAAAATGTGCATCATTTGGGAACGCCAATCAGGACAACGAGAATTACTATCCACCGATGATATAGAGCAACATTTGACCTCGCAATGGGGCATGGAGAACCAAGTATTGCAGTTCCATACAGCGCAAGAGCTGGGAAAGAGCAAACCAGTCAAGGAAATTGTCCAGAATCTCCGCACGCATTTTCCAGACGCAAAACCTACAATAGCAGTGTTGGCACGAGACGACAAAAGTTGTGATTCGAATAGTCAAACGGCTGCACTCATTGATTTGCAGGTATTGCACCAAGTAGCTACTTTACAAGTGCCACCTATGGCAAAGGAAGTAGCAGCAACGTTGCGACGTTTCACCAAGGCCATCGCAGAAGCGCCATACAAGCAACAAAAATCCGAGTCATTGGGGACTTTCAAAAAATTCCTAGCAAACGACAAAAAACAATGTGTGCGCGTAGTAGGAACCAGCGGCTTTGGGCGTTTGTGGCAACAGCATTTGAACCGCCTACCATTGGTCACCTTGGAAGTAGCAGAGACTATAATAGCCCAATACCCATGCCCAAAACGACTTTTGGACGCATACGAACGAAATGCAGCGGAAGAGAAGAATACGATGGCTGATTTGAAAATCAACCGCGCTGGTCCACATCCTCTACAAGGGGATAGGCGAATTGGAAATGTGCTGAGTGGGAAATTATATCTTTTGTATAATAGTAGAGATCCAAATGCTGTTATTTAGTACATTTTCAATATTCAGTTGCATCTTACTCTTAACAAAAACTGCGAAATAATTAAAAATGAATTTATGGTATTTTTAATATTTTATAATTGGTTTATTCCTTTGCGTTTCTTAAGGTTAGGCATACGTTAACATCAGGCTTTTCATCTATGTATGCATGTATGTATGTAATTAGTCATTCGGTCATTTATTTTTATATGTTTAATGTAATACCTAGGACTAATTATCTATAAGTTTAATTATTAAATACCGTAAATTAGAATATTATTTGATTATACACAATTGCTAATAGTATTTATTAATTATAATTAAAAATCACATATTCGCATATTCCGTAATTTTGTTATACAATATTTACTATATTAATTTTTGCTATCATTTGTTTTAGTATATATTTGCTTAAGTAATTTGACAAATTGTACATTGAAAACGATGTGGCCACGACCGACTGCCAACCAATTTAGAAAAAATCGTATTAATTTTCTTAATTCTGTCGTCCCTAAGCGATTTATCGCATTGAGTAAAAATATAATATGCAATACAAATGTTTTTTATTTAAATTTTTTGATTACTTGAGAATATAGAAAATAAACTAACTGTTTTATGAAGTCTACGTACACATACTTATGAAGATATTAATTGAGTATTAAAATCTTAGCTAAAAATCTTGATTGCATTTTTCTCATAATTTCTTGCGACTGGTTTTTTAGGCCGAATTGAATGATGAAATAATTTGAATATCGATTTCGATGTGAGTGTGAATCTATGATGTGGACAAAATTATAAATGTATTTTGTATGCACCATGTTAAGCGACAAATGTATGCTACCTTAGGTCTTCAAATGAATCCTTCCGACCTCCTGAAGGTATTTTTTTTTTTACGAAACAAATGAAAACTTTTTTATTATTATTTCGAATTAATTCCAGTTAAGTAAAACAAAAAATGAGTTTCCAGTTTTTTGAGTTTAAGTCAAAAAGTGTTTGCGAAATGTTTCAAGACGTCAGCAGTTTTATTTCCCTTTCCAAATATGTATATACTTTTCCAAATGGTAAAGCGTTATTTGACAGTGTCTATGTATTTGATATGTAGGCCTGCCTTAGATTTTAAGAAAAAACTTAGTAATCTACTACACGAATTTTGTATTAGCATTCCAACAGTTTGCGCACAAATCAATTGTCATGCATATTGCTCTAATTGGTTCAATTTGTACATATTTTATAGACTGTTAAAATTAGGTTCGTTGGCGGTTAAGCAGGGCGTGGTGTGTAGTCGAGTAGAAATTTTAGATTATAACTTTTTCAAAAGTCCAGTTATAAGTTTTTTAATTTAAGCTGTAGTACATACATACTACGTACATATGCATGTATGTATCTCAATTTGTTATATTTTTGAATGCTTTTATTTACGACATTTGGCTAATTTACGCTTACTGGCTATGTTTTATGTAAAAAGTTGAATGAATATATGTCTCTATGCATGTGTGGTTGAATACTTAAGTATGTGTGTATATCATTTATTAATTCTGTTTTACATGTTGTATATATAGTTTTTATCAATTGTCAACACAGAGAATACTTAACTGAAGGTATAAATATAGAATACAAAAATTTTAAATTAGAAGTAATTTGTTTAACATAATGAAGACAAACATGTTTAGAAACCTTAATTACAAAATACACTAATGGGCAAACGATTATAATTTACTGCACAATTAAGGAATTAATATATTTTTTATATGTATTTCCTTTAATTTACTTATCATTCGTTATTATTAGACTTAAAACACTAGGCGATTATCACTAAGACCTTACGAGTGTGTCTGTATACATATGTATATGGAACTGTCCGTCTGTCTGTCACTCACTCTTTGCCATTCCTCCCCCAAGAATGTTCCCATTTTCTATAGCGTGGCCAATATTCGTGTAAACCCTAAACACGCTGACACTATTGTTTGGCCCACTCCCCAGACCATCGCGTAAATTGGCGACATTGGCAAACTAGAGGCCCGATGCACGAATGCTATCACCGCACTACTAACGATCCCGCTCATTGCTGGTGATACAAATCCCATTACCAGTATCAGTATGGAGAAAAAGCGTCCGAATTTGTGTTTGCGCAGGGTCACAAAGGCAACCAACGCCGCGCATGTGTGTATGAAAATGGAGGAGAAGAGCGCCCACAAAAATATATGATACCACATTTCGCGAAATGTGTTGAGACGGTTCTGTGAGCGTAAGCCCATAACATCGGCAATAGTGTCCAACTCATCGGTGTCATCAAGGTCGGACAACATTACAAGCTGTATGGTAGACGTGTTGACGGTGGTGAGGTTATTGTTGAGTAAAGTGTTCTTCGCCGTTTACAGATCAAACAGTAATGTAATAGAATTCATTGATATACTAATGGCGAAACGCTATCATCTTGATTAAAACTACATATAACTTTTAGCCCTTGTTTGTAGATTCTTATAGCTGTATTTGTCGTTTCAATTTCTAATCTTCTCTGGTTTAATCGTACTTATAATAGACGAAAATATCACAAAACTTATTTGTTGACGTACACTTTGGCGGGAGTACATGTGTGTATGCAGCTGTCTGATAAAGTCTATCTGCGGTGCCGCATTTAACTAGTGCAATGCAAGCGCTCATTGATATATGTATTCATACATGAATTTTATTGCTCCAGCGCTGATAATCATAACTTTTCATATTTGTTACAAAATTTCTGTATATCAATATTTTGTATGTGTTTATTTGGCTGGCGAAATTCTGATGTAAGCAAACGTTTACTTATTTTATGGAAGGCTTTGGCGTGGCTTAATATTTTCGATGGCATTATGCTACCTAAAAATATAACAAAAAAAAGTCCATAAATTATGAAATTATGGGGAATGAAGACATCAAAGATTAGAGAAAAGAAAAAATAAAAGAGTATTTAATTGTGAAGTGAACAGATAAGTTCCATAGACTATTTTTCTCAAAATGATTACGGAATATTACAGAACTCATTGAGATACAACGGAAATAGATTCTCTATTTTGTTGCTTAATTACCCAGATGCTTCGTCTAGAAACCATTTGGATGGTGTTGCAACTTACATGTTTAATCAAAAATATCTTAGCTTTTGTTAAATCATATTATTTATTTTAATATTTGGACCTTATGCTTTCAAACTTTCATATTTTTTATGCGGCTTCCATGTATGTACATATATAATATAATGTCTATATGTAAGTATGTATATACATATTTTAGTACACATATTTTTCATTTTGAAGCTTTATTTATTGATTAAAACAAAAATAACTCCGCTTGTTTTAAATATTGTTTTTGATATTTTTAACGAATAAGCGGTTTTATAAATTTTCCGGGTTTTATATGTATTCTATTTTACCTTCTTAACATAGCCAGCGCCTCTTTTAATGCTTTCTGCAGCAACTGCTCTCCAGCAGCCAATTGTTTTGCGTCCTGTATATATTTCGGTGTTTTAGGACATTTATACGATAATTACACATATTTACCAGTACGCGCTTTTAACTAAATTCGTTTCAGTTATTTTCTATTCAATTACACGTTTAGTAGGCATTTTTCATTAAAATACCAATCGATTTCCAAATTACAGCGCCTACACCCTACTACCGCTGACAAAATGTACTCCACCCGCTTTGCTTACAATTTTTCCAACACCATTTTTCGCAATTTAATGCTTACGGTATTCTCAAATTCAGTCGAATCACCACAATGCAAATTATCACTATAATTTATAATACCACCCGTGGCAAAAATTAGTTTTCTGCGGAAATTATTATTTTTCTACCAAGAATCGCTTCGTCCATACCAAAGACAATTAACAGTGAACTCTTCTTCTTCTCGGCTAAATTAGTGATGTTCCGATAGCAGTACTTAAGCTCGGAACACTTTGACGACTGCAACTTCACGACGTAACGACAGCGACATCATTTTGTCGACAAATGTCGCCTTGAAGCCAGCTTCTTAAACATTTTGAAAACCTCAGCGACATAGCAAACAGCCGATTTTAAAGTTTGACATTTTGGTATATTTATTTCACAAATTGTGTATTTTTATTTAAGTAAATAAGAAAAACATGAACAATCAAGAATATGTGATTAATTTTGCGACAATTAAATTTTGCAGCACTACATCTACTCATTGTCGCCGGCAAAATTAGAAATAGATTTAATTTGGCGACGTCGACAATTGCAGTCCTGCAGCCAAGATGTCGTGCTGTCGTCAAAATAATTGTGTCCGTAAGAACGTGTGTATTTAAAACTTGACAGATGCTGCTTGTCGCTTGCTGTCGTCAAAGTGTTCTGAGCTTTAGAGTAGGGCCACAATATCGAACCGAAAGTATCGATATAGTATATCTTCCAACTACACAAGATCTGACAAGATGAAGCAAAAGAAAAAAGTAATTTTCGGGCCGATGTTTGTAAGTTCGACGCTATGTTATTTTCTTTGAAAAGTAAACAAAGAATATGAGAATGAAGCATAAAGAAAAAATGCAAGCAATTTTGTAGCGCATGTTTGTGCTAACAAAGTGATAATTTTTGTACGTGTATTCGCAACCGATCACCGGGCACTTCATTTTAATTACATTTGCACAAAAAAATTTATTGAAAATCGCTTAAAAATCACGGAAAAAACCACCGACAAAATACACATAAAGAAAGAAGCAAAACAGAAATAGCAAACTTCAAAATTACGAACGTACGTCACAAAAGGCTGTTTCTCAACCTAGTAACGTAACGTCATGTAACGTATTGTCAGATATTGTGGATGATGAGAAATAAGGAAAGATTTTTACATTTTGGAAAATTTGTATACAAATTGTTTTGCCCGATTACCAGAGTTTTTAGATCTTGACGTTTTCATTTTAAGCAGCTGTGAAAATGGATAAACAAAAATTCGCGCCAAATATGTTCAATAGTCAAATGCATCGATCAGCTGTTTACTAGCTAGTTTCCATGAACCAAAAATACAAGATCACGCCTTCTTCTTAGTAGCCCGTTATAATCGCATTTAGGAAAAAAGTTGGGCGACTTTGACATCAGCCGTTTGTTTACATTTGTTCGTTGTTTACAATTTGGTGGTGGCTTTTAACTGCAATTTTCTTAATTTTCGCTTGTGACAACGTGTGCACACATAAGGTAAGGAATAATTTAACACAACGACATAATTTGTAGAAGAATTTGCATAATAAAAATGATTATTCATGCGTTCAACAATTACGCGGTTTTTTTTTTGTTCTCTACGTTGTTTACTTCGTACAACAAAGATGGCGTCGAGATTTCAACAGCTTGAAAATAACTTTTTTCTTTCTTTCGGGAAGGCGTGATCTTGTGTCTTTCGTTCATGGCTAGTTTCTGCTAGTTTTGCGTTTCTTTACTTTATTTCGCTCACTGGGATAGTAATTTTCTCAATGATGCCATTCTTCTTCTTCCTGACAATTATCTGGTAAAAAAGCAAAGAAACAAAGCCTATGATCAGCTGTTCTTTTGTGTCATTAACCATTTACAATAGAGCACCGCCAGTTTGACGTTCTACATTGAGCTGACATTCGTTTTGGTCGTACCCAAAACACGTGTGAAGAGTAAATTAAGTTCAGGTCCAATTGTTTTACTGCAAAAATTTAAACAAAATGTATTTAATGTACACTTTAAACGAAAAAGGCGAGCGCGTCTACACATTGAAGGTATAAAGTGTATTTTCCCGACTTGTTTTAACTAAACTAAAAGCCCTATTATATCGTAGAAACGCACTGAGGATGGACAACCAACAATTTCAGCTCACCCGGCGCGTTTCTCTCCAGAGGATAAGTACTCCCGGCAACGTTTGACCATCAAAAAACGTTTTGGATTACTTATTACACAGCAGCCTGAACCAGTTTACTAACTTCTATAACTACATAATACCCGCTAAATCTTTAAGTTTGTTTCTAAGAAAATATTGTAATGAAATTGAATAAACATTTTTATTCACTAAGCCATAAAACTAGCAATACATTTATTCTAATCAATACGACGCTTCAAACCCGCTGTGTAATCAAATAGTTGTGGATTCCGAAATTCTCCTCGCATGTCAAGTACATAATAAAGTGCACGGTTTTTCACCTTGATCGGTAGTTGTGAGCGTGCCATTTCGCGAGACTCTTGAGCTGAAACAAATTTCAACGGCACCGTCAGTATCCGATTTCTGTTAAAAGGACCATAAGTTACGAATGCAAGGTCTTTTCCGCCTTTTCGAAGAATAAGGTAACGCACGGAACGCAATGTGAACAACCAGGCGGCGCAAAGAATACCATAGCCTGAAATAATTTATGTTTAAATGTCACTTATAACAAAATCAGATATAACTACTTGCCTATAAGAAAGCAAACGATGGTTATGCCATTTCTATATTTATTCTCTCCGAGGTTAATACGTAGATACCATGCTAGCTCCTCGCCAGGTATTTCCTCTACGGGTGCATCTTTGAGCGTTGTAAATGCAAAATGCGACAGGTATGTCCAAAAAACAAATTGACAAAGCGCAAAAATGTTCAGCACATTGTAGTATTTGGGATTCTCATATTTAAAAAGTATTACATCCTTTGTAACGTTCGTGTTGACATCGTAGGCTGGAGTACAACGATTACGCGCCGGTGCTCTCAGTAGAACATTAATGGATCTATTGAAGAATGTTAATTTCTGTGGACTGGAAGCCTGTTTTACTGACGGCACAACAGTTGGTAACCGATGGAGTAAGCGAAAAGTGCTGTTTCGAAATATATTGCTAATCCCATTAACGGTAATATTTAATAAATTACTCATTCTGCAAAATATATGCTGCATACAATACGCAACTGCGTTAACCTCAACATTTTTTTCTTGTATAAAAAGAATTAGCGAACAGCTGTTTTTGTTTATTTGTTTTGATACAGTGCCAGGGTTTTATTTGCCTATATACTAGCAGCGTTGCCGTTTTGTCAAAATTGTATAATTTTTGATACTTTTTTCTAAATTTTGTGGCCTATGCAAATAAACATAAGGAAAATATACTGTTACGATTATCCTCGAAACCTTGAGGGATTTCCCAAATATACTCGGGCTCGTATCGCTGGATTGTTAAATAAATGCTAACGATGACCGAATTGTAGTACAATTAACTTTATTGTACAACAAACAATTTACAATACTTGCTAATACAGTAAAAACACTTTACAATACTTGTTAAAGCAATAACAACGCTTTACTACTTGTTAACACAATTAAACTTATAGCTTGCTTATTCGCAACTCAATTCTCCGCTCACTTCACTTGTAGCTTGCTGTCTTGTAACTTCGTAACTAACTCACCTCGTGGTGGCGGCGCCCTTATATACCTGCGCTGGCACTTATGGCAACTCTAGAACATTCTGAAGTTTATCGCTCATTCTCTTTCGCTCGCTGTTCGCAGTGTTCATCCAACTTGACGTTTCTCTTTGTGGAACATTCTACGTCATTCTTCGAACATTCTGCCTATTTCTCGTTGTTCGCTTTGTGTTGCCGCAGTATTCGCCACAATACAATGCAGAATTTCCACAGTTCTTCATAGCTGTATTCACAGTATATACAGTAATAAACCTTTTTAAGTATTCCTCAGGGGTAAAATCTGATCAGGGTTGATAATGAGAAGGGACATGAATTTTTGCTGATGCAGAGTTGCATACAAACTTACTGTAGTATGAAAGTGAGCAACAACCGTACTATGGCAGAGTTGCACTGTTAATTTTGTAAACAAAAACATTTCTTGTCGTTTTAAAGAGATAATTTCTATTTATTTTCCAGAAACCAGATATCCAGCTTGTAGAGAGAGGCAGTGGCATGTAAGGCCCACTAACACCTACTTATCATGTTGGAGCAGCTTAGGGTAATGGATCATTGAATGTGTTGGCTGAATTTATGACCACCATAACCAACGCTGTCTCCAAGAAAATTTGTGTCCTGAATTTATACGGTAGCAATTCATAGTAATTGCTATTGTATGTGTGTATGATTCATATTTGCGACATTCTATACTTTGATGTTAAGTATTTTTGGGGAGTTCCGCTCAAACTTGGGTGTGCGCTTGGGGGGGATGCGCTGCCAGGCACTGGAGTCTCTATAACTAAACCAACCTTTTTTTTATAACAAAGACTTAAATATATTCGAAAATTTAGAGTTTTAATTGATAAATTCACAAAAATCACGTTTTTTAATAAAAAATACGATGTGAGTTTCCAGTTTATAGAAACACAACAGTTAAATATGTACTTAACTATTGATATTATTCTTAATTAACCCTCTAGTAGGCTGAACCGCCTCCAGACGGTCGTTAACTAAACACCTTTTTAGTGCACCTATAATAATTTATTTCTATATTCGTAAGGCACGATCTTTAGACAAAAATGGTACCTTACGGCGAAATAAATTTGAATCCGTTATGTCAATACGTTTTATTTTAATCGGCAGTTGAATTACAGATAGTGAAGGCACGGTTAAAATTAATTATTTAATTATTTCTTTGGACAAATTTTTTGATATAAAAAAATTCGGTGGATTTCAGACCGTCTACGGACCGGCTTGCCGACATATAAAACCACAGTTTTGCATTTTTGACCGTCTGCAGACGGGATTGCCGGTTCGTAGGTCAACACTGTGTAAGAGAAAGCTGAAAATATGTCAAAGTATATCGGCGAGCCCGTCTCCAGACGGTCTTGGTTTTTTCTCCCCTGTAGGAAAAAGTTACCGTCACAGATCGAAATGGACATCATTTTTGGATTTCTCGTGCTAAAATCACCCATTCCTGAATCTTT